CAGGTGGAATCAGGCACGTTGAGCTGGGAGAGCTTGTCCTGGAGCAGGGATAGCAGGATTGTGTTGAAGGCAGAGCTGAAGTCCACGAACAGGACCCTGGCGTAGGTCCCCGGGGAGTCCAGGTGCTGTAGGATGTGGTGGAGGGCCAGGTTAATGGCGTCATCTACAGATCTGTTGGCTCTGTAGGCGAACTGCAGGGGGTCCAGGAGGGGGGAGGTGAAGGACTTGAGATGGGAGAGAACCAGGTGTTCAAATGACTTCATGACGACAGACGTAAGTGCTACAGGTCTGTAGTCGTTGAGTCCTGTGATCCTGGGCTTCTTCGGGACGGGGACAATGATGGAGGATTTGAAGCAGGCTGGGACATGGCAGGACTGCAGAGAGGTGTTGAAAATGTCCGTGAACACAGGAGTAAGCTCACTGGCGCAGTGTCTCAGAGTGGCCGGAGACACGTGGTCCGGGCCAGGAGCTTTGCGGGGGTGCAGCCTCAGGAAGAGTTGTTTAATCTCTTTAGCGGCTATTGTTAGGCTGGGGGCAGGGCTGATGGGTGGGTCGTTAGAGTAGTGGGGGGTGGGGGAGGGAGAGGTGTCAGGGGCAGCATCAAAGCAACTGAAAAAAAAGTTCAGATCGTCAGCTAGCTTGTGGTTGTCAGCACAGGGGGGGGGCTTTGGGTTTGTAGTTGGTGATCTCCCGTAGGCCCCTCCAGACAGAAGCAGTATCGTTGTTACCAAACTGCTCCTGTAGTCGTTCTCTGTGCCGGGACTTGGCTGCTTTCAGCTCTTTCCTGAACTGACATTTAGCTGCTTTGTAGCCGCTGCGGTCCCCCTCCCTGAAAGCAGACACCTTTGCTTTCCTGAGCTGCCGGAGTTTAGCAGTGAACCAGGGTTTGTCATTGTTATAGATGACCCTGGTCCTTGTCGGAATGATACTATGCTCACAGAAGTGAATGTATGACGTCACAGTGTCCGTGTATTCATCCAAACTATCTGTGGCAGCTCTGAAAAGGTCCCAGTCTCTAGATTCCATGCATGCATGCGCATTTACGACTTCTTACTAACATGGTGAACAACTACATACTCACTAAATATTTCTATATGTGCTGTAGCAGTGTCGGCCGGAACCCCATGAAGAGAGGACAAGATAAGACGTTTTCACTCCATCTGGTGAATACCGATGTATTTCTCATGATAATCTAACAATGAGAGGCACTTTTTGCCTTGCACTCTCTCTCACGTTTTAATGACATGTTCTCGCTCTTACAGTATTGTAGGCTCATAATTAAAGCAAAGCAAGGACGTCTCCATTCCCTGGAGGTGGACCGGGTTAAATTGAGTTGAAAATGAGATTTTAGCATCTGCTGCGGTAATGGTGGGGAGCTGAACCCGGGTCTGTGCCGTGTTAATGGAGTGAGAGCACGGGAGAGTTTGGTGTTACTCTGTGAATAGAGCTGAGCAGGTGGAGGAGGCTGCGGAGCAAGAGCAGACATGAAGGCAATTAAAGCTGCGAGAGACACGTCACATGACCAGCGCTTCCGATCAACGTCTATGATGCACTGTCCGCCACATGCCAGTTGTTCTTTGCTGAAAATGTGTAGATGAAGAAAGAATATTTACATGATATCAGACTGTTGAGAGCACCAGGAGAAAGGCTCGTCCAAGATACCTCCAAAAGGCCATTGTGTTACATTTGTAAAGGCAAATACATGTACTCCTTTGTTTTAATACATCAGTCAAATAAACACAAATATATGAACAAAGTTTATATGGCTGAACTATAGAGTAATGTAAATATATCTACATAGGGGTGTCAAATCATTTTATTGTATCAATTATTATTAATAAAGGTCCCATATTTTGCTTTTCCTCATTTTTCATGAAAGAGAAAGATTACTCTCTAACTAAAGCTTGAGGGTTTCAATAAAAAAACTACTCTGGGCATGTGTATGAAGGCGCTGTAATTATGTTTAAACCACAAAAATCAAAAAGCGTAACGTGGGACCTTTAAGGTTTCTATCGTTTACATCGTGGAAAGTTTGCTTGAAGAGAATATTTTGTGTCTGTGCTTATTGTTTTTGTATATTTATAATGTAAGTTGTTTTACTTTCTGTAATATATAATCTGGCACAGAACATACACGTCCCTATACTGCAAAAAACTGATGGAAAATAAGTACAAAATAGCTAACATTTGGCAAAATGTATATACATTTGTGCCCATACAGTATTGACTGCCTTAAAACGGAGTGGGGCAAGCAAAAGATCTTGTTTTAAAAAGAAATGTGTCACTTGGAATGAGGAAATCTTAATGGCAAATCAGGATGTACTCAAGTTAAGATAATAACGATTACAGCAATTATAACCTCATGTTTGACAATTTTTTGCAGTGTAAAAGATGCTTAATGTCTCTGTTCACGGTCCCTTCAATAAAGATGAAAGCGTTTGAATACAGGTCATATTATCTGTAAGGCCGACCGGCAGATGAGCATTCTGTTTTCTTATTCTGTCTGGGCCAGAGTACTGCATGTTCTCGGTTGTTACTGATTGTTTCTTTCCCAGAGTGCATCAGAGTCTACAAGCGTAAAGCCTAGAGCATCAATGAGGCATCCTTTGTTTACTCTTCAATGTCTAGTAATTTCCTGGTCCAGGGCAGACGTCTTCAGAGCGCTGCCAGGTGGTGTGGGTGACGTGGTCGTCTTTGTACATGTGTCACTTTTACTAATAAACAAACTCACACTTTGATTGCGTTACTGCTCTAGGTTGTTTACATTACTTTCATTAAGGACATTGGTCATACACCCCTTATGGACTAATGGCTCTGTGTTTTGTCTTTATCATTGCAATTCTTGCGTTTGAACTCTCTGATCTGTGTTGGTGAATTTTGACGGTGTTGTAAAGTCCTCAGAGATAACTAATGTTGTGATTTTGGGTTATACAAAAATACATTTAATTGAATTGTTTAAGCTCTCGGTCGGCACAGTAATTCCACAACAGTCGCCATTTTAACCTTAAGATCCATTATTGTTAATATTTATTTCATACTCAAAATAAATGTGGTCCATACAAAAAAGGACAATGCATTCAAATGTATAAAGTCAGTCCCAGAAGGTCAATGGTCGGCAAATGTTTACCTCAGCTTTTTCAGATAAAGACGCATCAGAAAAGTGAAACAGACAGGACCACCCTCACTGAACATACGTGGTTAGCAGCAAGAAGGTCCTGGGTTCGATTACACCTCCAGACCTTTTTGTGTGGAGTTTGCATGTTCTCCCCGTGTCTGTGTAGGTTTCCTCCGGGTGCTCCGGTTTCCCCTATCACTAAAAACATGTACAATAGGTCTGGCATGCACTTCCTGTATGGCGACCGATCACCGCGTGAAGTGAGACAAATGCCCACAACAATTGTAAAGTGCTTTTTGACTCTGGTCTGTGAAAGGCGCTATACAGATATAGATAAAGATAGAGATATAGATACGTACTTACTTACTTACTTACTTATATAATAAAATGACAGCATGTAGTGGTCTGATTTGTTCACAGAATCTTACTTTTGGATTGAAAGTTTTCACTCCCAAATATGAATTATATGCATTCATCCCCCGCTATTCCATAAATATCATTAAAAATCCATAATTTCTGGTGGATTAAATCACCATTGACGATTAAAAGCCGACAAATATCCTCACGGCTCATTAATTTGCCTATATGCCATGACAGTGTTTTTAATGGACTATAATAAGCTGCCTCCTGTATGCAGCTGCAGTGACACACGTGGCTCCCGGTCTCTGAGGACTGAGAAAGAGGAAGGGAGGGGTCTTTCAATTAAACCCTGTTGTCTTTACCGCTCTAAAGATGCTATTAAGCTAATTGGTCTAAGATGAGTGTCAGTGATGGCGGTGTGCAGGCCAGGTCCCCTCTCTATCCCCAGTGGAGTGCGAACATGTTAATAATGTATTAATGAGAGGTGCTTCTCAGATTAGGCCCAGACCCCTGTGATAATAGGGGGCTGGATCAGAGCAGTAATCTAACCTTTGGGTTAAATCAGCTTTTGTTAAAGAGAGAAGAGGACCGAGGCTGATAAGGGCTCATGGAAAAGGTCTTCTCCCTCTGGGCTGAAGAAATTATACAATCAGAATGAAAAGAAACAAAGGAAATCTGAACATTATGGCTTAAATAGCATAGATTTTCTGTTGTTGATGTTGCTTATCTGGCTCTCCACCGTGTATAAGGCTGTTTTGGAAAGTATAATTATGATTGACATTGTATGGGAATTTTCTTATTACATTTTCTTATCAAAGCTGGATACCGTTTTTTCCAAATAAATATTAAATTGTATTTGTCTCAAAAGAAAGTCTTGTGTAACATTTTGTCAACAAGTCAGACCACATCCTGCTGTCATCATCTAATAAGAAATCTTTTGCATACTTGTTAGAGCTGTGTGAGTCACTATTTGACGCTTTGGGCTGAGATGTAATTCGTTGAGTGAGGGTGGGCCTCTCTTTTTTCACTTTTCAGCCTGAAAAAGCTGATCGTAAGTATGACATACTTTCTTTTTGGTTTGAAATTTAGATACCTCAGCCTTAGGTAAGCAAGTAATCATAGAAGCACAGTGGTCATTATTGGAGAACAAAACATGGCCATACTATTACAGGTCCAAACTGTAATAAACAGGTTTGAAACTTCCCCAATGTGGAACAAATAAAGGATCTCATAATCTTAAACCACCTCATGCTACTCTTGTCTGCTAGATTGCTATTGTGGTTCAGTGTTTAACATGCCATAGAGTGTTTTTGCCATCAGCGCAGTTTTAGACAATGACAGGTTCTCTGTAGTTTAGATGGGCCCACCTCTCCTAACTTTCTCTCTCCCCACTGTGTCCCGTGTATGAATGACAAATCCTAGTCCCAGCACCACGTCCACCCGCTCCCTTCAAATCCTCGCTACTAAACGCACCAACACACACACACACACACACACAAACAGGAAAACACTGCACAGTTTAAATTTTAAATACCTCCTCCATCTTGCCCCTCTCCGATCATGTCTTGTCTACAGTCTTCCGTCGCCGCTCCGTTCCTGTCTGTCTCCTAATAGAAATTTTGATAGAAATATCACAAAGAGATTTTAATCACAGGGGTGTTGCTCGTGCTTACACTCATGTGAACCACAAAGGCGCTGTCACCCCCTTCGGATCGCACACCAGCCCGCCTTAAGACACCCGTCTCCAGCTCTGCCAATGTAGCGCTTGGCAAAGTCGCTGAAAAACAACAAACAGAATAAGGAAGCATGTAAAATAAGATGGAGTGAAATGTTTCCGGGAGTCAGATGCCGAGCGTTGAAAGGGCCTGGAGAGGGAACAGAGAGGGAGAAGGTAAACACAGCCATTAGATGGAACTGAGGCGCGCACAAACAGAAAAGCTTTGTCTCCATGTCCCAGAACTGCAGCGCTTGTACACACTTTGTGTAGGACTGTTGTCTTCCTAGGGGTGTTTGGATGGGACACATTTTAACATGCACGACTCCAGAAATGTGCAAACATTTTGAACGAGCAAAAGTAGCGTTTGCTAAAATTCATTATCTTAAATTTTTAATCCGTTGTTTTTTCCTTAAGATCATAATGTAATGTAGCTCTAAAATGTACATTGAGACTCAATTTTTTCATCAATTCTTCTGCCAGGCCCTCCAGGGTGTCCTCAGTCTCCCAACTGTGGTGATTAGTCCAGGAGGTCTTGGAAAAAGAAGCCAAGCCAGCTCACATGACTCTTATAGATGAGAAGGAGTGGGGGCTCTAACCTGAGCTCCTGGACCTTGGCTTGGGCCTTGTATGTGACCTGGAGTGGCCCTAACCCGGCTCAGCCAGAGCTAATGACTTTAGGTCTGCCTAATGTCATTAGGTGGTGCCCCCAATCTTGTGGGCCCACCTGCAGAGGGTTTCCAGAAGGTTGCATAAGGCTTCAGACACTGATGTTTGAAGTTAGCTGTCTATCTTTGATGGTTCAGAACTGAATCACTTTTAAGAATTACGGGGTTTTGAACAACAAACCAACTTGGACTTGGACACAAAGTTTCAAGTCAATATTTACAGAAAATATGAATGGTCTTGATCCTGCCAATGTATATTTGAAATGAATACATACAAGATAAATATTTAGTATTTTGCAAGAGTAACCTGTTCAAAGTTGTGGAATGGAATTAATAAGAAAAAAATATAAACGAAGAGCATGATTTTAGCATGCATTTTGTTTCTTCTCATAAGATTCCTTTTGAAGTCTGTCTTCCATATTCAGTCTTTGGTTGATGTTAGAAATCACATTTTCAATCCGGCTTCAAAACACTATTTCCCACACTTTTAAATCACTCGACGACACCCAGACATCATACGGTTTACATTCCTTCAGACTGATGTGTTAGATTGGGCCTATATGTTTCTTCAAATTCAGCCATCATCAGGCGCACATTTGAAAACTTCTGATTTAAGCTTTCCACTTGCAAAACACATATCAATCATGTATCAAATGATCTTCAGCAAACTTGGATCTAACCTCAAAGGCAAAATTTCACGCCGTCAGACTCCGTATCACAGGCTTTTAGATGCTTGAAAAGAGGTGCGTTCTCCTCCAACCCCATAATGATGCTTTTCGTCCACAAAAGTCTTCAAAATGTAATGCTAATATCCTCTCTGTAAAGTTCCTGCCAAGAAATATGAAACATGCCTTATACTTTTGTCTGTAATCAATAAATAAGTGCACAAATAAAACTCCAGGGAGCGGATTAAAAATATAGACGGACTGGCGTAGGGGAGCAAAGAGAGTCGTGCTCAATTAACTCCTAATAACCAATGTTCTTATAAAGTCTGGATAATTTAGAGTTCCCCGATGGCTTTGCATGGACCCTTTTCCCGCTCATCTGCAGATAAAAGCCACAGCCAGTTCAGAAATTGTTGTCCCAAAGTAAGTTCTTCTAAAAAGACCTTCAAATCATTACGGTTTCAAAGTGCCGCCGATTGAAAGCCAATGGGAAAGTCCTTTGCTCTTTTATCTGCGATGTTAAAGAAGTAACAGAGGATCTTGCGCCCGGGCCTTTTCAGATAAGTGAATATATTTAATTTTTGAAAAGAATCATAGAGTTGGCGTCTTTGGTCCTCGCGTCTACTGGGACCAGAGGCGTGGAGAAGGAGTCAAAGTTCTTTTTAAAGGAATAGGCCTTGAGAACTCACCAGTCCTCTAAGTTGATTTATTTATCAGGTTCTCTCGAGTGATGGCTGCTGTGATGGATACCCAGGGGTGGTTGGTCGGTCCTGGGATAGAGCGGGCTTCGTCCCTGTCTGCCCGCGCCCGCCACAACCCCCCTCCTCCCCGCCTCATCCTCGCCTTCATCCCCCCTCATGTTCCCCTGTCGTGCCATCAGAGACGGACGGCGCTCTTTCATCGTCTGAGGGTGCAAAGCTCGGGCCGAAGGAATAGTAATTGCAAAGGAGGTAGCATGAAAGCGTGCGAGTGACCGTTAGCGGTTAGCCTGGCTGCGTATATGTATGTGTATGTGTATATATATACATATGTGTGTGTTGATGGAGCTACAGAGCACATATGCAGGTTAGCGTATATGGTGGTGGACTTCCCCTCGCGGGCCCCGGTGCTGGGTGGAACCAGAGCAGGACCATATGCTGCATCTGCCGGTTCAGCCCTGAGAGAGAGAACTGTCACAGAGCCAAACATCTGATCTAACACGGCGGTAAACAAAGGATTTAGTTTAGGGCAATCATTATACGTCCATGTGCAATGATGTGCACATTCAGAAAAGAAAAGTAAGAGAAAAATGTATCCCAGTCTTTTTAAGAGTGATACCTATTTTTTTGTTTTTGATAAATTATAGATTCTGTTTGTCCCAAAAGAAAGTCTTGTAAAGTAAATCAGACAACAACAAGCTGTTTTCATCTTAGTAGAAAACCTGTTATCTTTTATTTACGCATTAGGCTGAGAAAGAGTGGACCCCATTTTAGTTCTTTCTGTCTTAGAAAGGTGTGACAGAGGCCAAACATACATACTGTAATGGAACCACAAGAAACTACAGAGAATAATACATTAATTGAATTGCATTGGTTTCTAAATTAATCTTCATAATTTTTTATTTTTTTTTTAAAGATGTGTAACCTTTGGAACATTTTATTTTTCTTATCAGACATGATACTCTGAAGATAAATGTGTTTTCTTAAAGTTGCACTGTAACTTTTCAAATAGAGGATCCTTCATCACTGCCATAGATTGTGTATTAGGAGTGCCGAGTCCCTGAGGGCCAATCAGGAGCAGAAGTGGTCTGTCCCCTCTCGCGCTACTCACTAGCTAAAGCTGATTCTGTGAGAGACTCTTGATTGGTCAGTTGCCAAGACTTATTACTAGATTTACAAAGACACAACCAGAATCGCAGGAAAAGTCATAACCCAAGCAGGTGGCATACACTCAACCAGAGAATCAAAATAGTAAATAAAATATGTTTAATGAATGAAGCTTAAGCTATTTTAATGTTTATAACTCATAATGGATGTCAAGAGAAGGTAATTCTAGAAGATGTTGAACATAACTGTATACAGCAGATTAAATAGAATATGCTTGGTAATGTGTCTCAGTAAATTTGACTCAAAAATGAGCAGATTCAAAACAACTTGACCTGCTCAGACATATATCCTGTTAGCCCCAAAATGGCTGCAGTCGGGACTAGAGAACACTTGTTTGTTGTTGTTTGCTTTTCGTCACAACATGTTACCGGCGCCGAGCCCCGCTGATCGAGAGGAGCATCTGGCTTTGTGCATAGCTGAAGACTGCACATTTATTATACATGATGCGCTGTACTTGTGCCAAAGAGCCGGCTGTATGTACTTCAATCATCTCTTACAACCGCCCTGGCTGCTAAAATATCACTGTTTACCTTTCCCACTGCTCTGGATCGTCATTTACTCTGTATGGGAAACATTGTAATTGCTACTTGAGCTTGTTTTGCTGCACTTTGTGGCAGACTGTGTTAAATATTGAGTTTTCCAATTAGTAGATTCTTGGAGAAAACAGATGGATGGCTGGTGGTGTTAGAAGAAACACCTGAATTCTGTCAATAATTACGCCAAGCCTGGAGTGAGAGCAGCATCAAGCGAACGTGCGTAATAAGCGCCTCTCTCTGCAGGTGCTAAGACCGCTAAGAGCTAACATTATTTCCTTTAACATGGTGCACAAGGAGAGATATATCATCTCGCCTAATGGGTTGCATGGAGGAGAGCGGGAAGTGTTTGTGTTTCTGAGGATTTGTTTACTTTTGAAAAAGAATTGGATGCATCCTCAGAGTCGTTGGGATTTGTATGGAGTAAAGGCACTTGAAGAGTGATTAGCTGTCTTGCGTATTGTCAAAGATGCTTGTGGATATATGTACAAAACTTTCTCGTAATAGACTGATTGTTTTCGATAAACAATGATTGCAAGCTGCAAGGTTCCAGAAGTCAAAGTGAAGGTAAAGTTTCTGTAGGGAATTTTTTTGACTCCATCCTTGTTATAGCTGATTCTACACTATAGTACACTGGACGAAAAAGCACACAAACAGACAGAAGTAAATTTTTTTTGGATAGAGCAATAGATAGAGCAATCACAGTCTCCTGTTTGTCTGTCCCAGTCACCACTGGCCATACTTCATCCCGTTTGGGGTCTTAATTGAATAATAAATGCTGAGCTCGAGTCCTGACTAGAACCAGGAAGAATGATCACATAAGTCCAGTTCTCAGGTCTCTACACTGGCTTCCTGTGGCTCAGAGAATAGACTTTAAAACAGCTCTGCTTGTGTACAAGTCTCTCCATGGCCTTGCACCAAAATATATTAGTGACATGTTAGTCCCATATGAACCAGCCCGGACTCTGAGGAGCACATGTACAAAACTCCTGTCAGTGCCCAAAGTCAGAACTAAACATGGGGAGGCTGCATTTCAGATTCATTAAGCTAAAATCTGGAACAAATTTCCTGAAAATGTGAGACAGGTTTTAAGCAATGTTTAAATCCAGCTTTAAAACAGTTCTATTTGGCTGTGCATACAACTGCGGGATTTTACATTTTTATCTTTATTTTTTAATATACTGTGGATATTTATGATTTTAATGCTATCTTATTTTGTTCAGCACTTTGAGTTGCCTTTGTGTGAATTCATTCATTCATTCATTTGGCAAACTTGCTTTGTATACCATGTGAGAGTGTAAAGAGGGGTGTGTACCTCCTGCACAAGCACCCCCTCTCGGAAAATTTCTCAAGCGATGTTCCTCAGACGCCATGGTCTGTGATTGTTGTGACAATCTGGTGCATTTACAGTTCCAGCTGTTCATTAATACACACTGCCCCATGTAAATTAAAATGATAAAATGCAACCTGTCAGAAGCAGTGGTTGCCACAGTGGTGCGCCCATCGGCATGTTTGAGACTGGAGGATTATGGGGAATGTTTTGAATGGTAACTTGAAAAATGGTAAGTATTTTGGGGCATGTGGGACATTGTTTATACCATTTTGTAAAACACAATTTATAAAACTAAGAAATTAAGATTAAGCCAAATGTAAAGTTATGAGGATTTTGTCACAAACATTGGTGGATATACAGTACATAAAAGGTTTGTAAAACAATTGTTTAGGTATTGTTTTATTGCTTTTGAAGATTAAGCGCAAATTCAGACTGGAAGACAGGAGAACCAAGCTCACAGCGCTCAAAGTCATAATGTGTACATAATGTAGTGTCAGATTACCTGCCAATCAACATACAATTCTAACACTATGTCCTGGTCTGTTCGAGTCTCTCCAGTTTGAAGTGCATTTCAGTCTTCAGAATTGCCCTTTTCACCAACCCTCTATTCACGCCCACTGCTTTGTGATAAAACACTAAAATGTATAACTGTGAAAATGTATGGTTATTTTATATTATTTATTATTTTATTATTATTATTACTTTTTAATTATTATTTCAATTTGTTTGTATTTTTTGTTTTGTAATTTTTTTTGTTTGTTTTGTGTTTTTTTTATTTTTATTTTTATTTTTTTTCTGTTTTTTGATGGGTTTTTTTGTGTGTGTGAGCTGTACTCATCCCTGCACTCTCCTTGAAAATAATAATAAAAAATTGATCACAAAAAAAAAAAAAAAATGTATAACTGTGACCCTGGTTTAAACATAGCGTTAAAAAAGGTTGAATGGCCATTTATCATCATAGGAGAGGGAAAATAAATTTACTATACTTGCACCACCACCGAAAAGGCTGTAACATTCCAGTCTCAATCGATTCAGTTCTAGACAATTCAATAAACATTTCACGGAAAACAGATTATGTGTGCCCTCCGAATATTTACACTTTCATGGACTTCTACAAAGACATGCTGATTGTGAAATATCTTTTTGAGTTTGTTTAGACATTTCTGTATTGTGGCATTTATGTTTCGAACCAAGCAGCGCCAATAGTCAACTGGCAGTTTCACTCTCGCCTCTGCATCTACCCACTCACTTCCTTCACAGAAACTATTCATGATAAATCCCTCTTGAATTCAGGTGTGGAAGATACCTAACCGCACAAGCCAAGTGAAGGAGGAAGCAGAGATGAATAAACATGCAAAAAAAAAAAAAAATCCACAGAACAGCCGCACAGCTCTCTACAATCGCCCGGACTCTCTCTTTTCCCTTTGTCTATGCACTGGAGGAGGTCTGTGTGCTTTTACACCTGGACGTCAGCCATCTTGATGCATAGCTGCCTTGGATAGAGGGCGCGGGTCATTCGGGTTTCACTCTCCATCTGTTTCATGGCTCTTATCATAACAGCGGCCCGGCCCTCGATTCAAACACAGCCGCGGAGATCAGGGGAAATCAAAGCCCACGCTACGCCAGCCTGCAAAAGGAAAGAGCGAAGGGAAACCTGAGTGAAAAAAGTGGTCAGAGAACACAAAGAGAATAATACATACAAGAAACTCGGTCTGCAGCGAACCGGCGCGCATGAAAGAAAGTATACAGACTCAAACTTGTTGCAAATATCTGTGAGTGCTGTGGCAATAGTTTGAATGGTTGGATATTGTTGTGTGGCGACAACCCAGCCATGCCATTGACAAGGCGTTACAATCTCTTAACCACGCATTCCAGTATACAAACCAGTTGAACGTACATCGCATATGGCATGTGGCTGTTTCGGACATAGTGCAGAGAACCCAACCAATCTCTTAAATCACATTGGACAGAACAGAAGTCGCACACCAGTGGAGTTATATTCCGGTATTTATAGTAGTCAGCATCTCCACTGTGCGCCCACTCACAATACAAATCACAAAACCCAGTGCTGTGGGTAATGCATTTCACTATACCGGCTTATGCAGTCCACAAAATGTCAAGATTGTCTGCTGGCATAAAGCCGCACACCTCCCTGCTTCCCGGTGTCATA